AACTCGTCTGCTTTCATCAATATAAGGGAATCATCAGCAAATAATAAATGAGAAATTCTGGGAGAGTCACGACAGACCTGAACACCCTTCAAATTACCAGCCGCCTCCTCATGGGTAATGAGCGCAGATAGGCCTTCGGCACAAAGCAAAAATAGATAGGGAGACAGGGGATCCCCCTGCCTAAGACCTCTTGTCGGGGAGAACTGTAAAGTTTCATTAGAATTGAACCATACTTTGTATTCAACAGAAGTGACGCACGCCATGACCAGCCGAATCCATCTATGATCAAAACCAAGCTTCCCCAAGATTGCTTTCAAAAAGACCCATTCAACTCTGTCGTACGCCTTGTGCATATCCAGTTTTACCGCACATGTGCCCACTTTCCTGTCTTTCTTTTTTTCATTGTGTGTAAACACTCATAAGCAACGATAACATTATCAGTGATAATCCGACCGGGGACAAAGGCACTCTGCGTCGCACTAATTCTATCAGGCAATAACAGTTTCAGTCTTGCCGCCAACATTTTAGATATTACCTTATAGACAACGTTGCAAAGACTTATTGGACGAAACTGGGTTACCTTCTCTGGATTGTCAACTTTGGGTATAAGAACAATAGTGGTCTGATTCCATCCCTCTTGTATTACACCACTGTTTACTGCCTGAAGCACTTCCCTAATCAAGTCCTCACCTAGGATAGGCCAGAATTTTTTATAGAAAATGGCATGTAGCCCATCCGGCCTCGGGGCCTTTAAGTCACCGATGCTAAAAAGAGCATGCTTCACTTCCTCCGCTGTGTAAGGTGCTAAAAGAGTTTCATTCATGTAATCTGTTACACAATGTTTCACTTTATTCAAGACTCTGTCATCAGGTAAACCAACTTCTGAAGAAAAAAGATGCTGGAAGTAATCTAAGATTAAACTTCTCATAGACTCATTATCTTCTAGCCATGTACCGTTATCATTCATAAGCCGTCGGATGTGATTTCTTTTTTTCCGTGCAGTGGCAAAATTATTGAAAAATTTGGTATTGCGATCTCCAAATTTCAGCCAGTTTGCACGGCTTCGTTGAACCCAATAAATTTCCTCCTTTTCTAGGTTTTCCTCGATCTCAATTAACAAGATTCTTTGCCGGTCCGCCGACTCATCAGTGAGAGGGCCCAACCGCAAATTTTTCAGCTCCGCCTTCAAATCTTTAAGACGTTTGTGAGACGCCTTAAGGATCTCTCTGTCCCATATATGCATTTGAGCATGCACTGCCGCGGTACGGTCCGCCAATGATGCGTGTGGGTCGGCTCTATCCCATGCATCTGAAACTAGCTGCGTCACATCCTCCTCTTTAAGCCAGCAACGGACTTGATCACCGGCAACGTCACCATCAGTATCAATTAGTACAGGTCTATGATCTGACTTAGTATGTGAGGTATTAGTGACCTTGGCGCTAGGGAATAAGCCATGGAATTGGCCGTTGCAAACACTTCTATGCAAACGTTCATGCAGTCTACGTCTCCTCCAAGTGAACTGATCACCGGTGAACCCCATGTCCTCCAACTCACAGTCTACCAGTGCATCTCGAAAATTTTGCATCATATTCATTGGTCTCGGAGGGCCGCCTTCCTTCTCGTGTGAGTACAAGATCTCATTAAAATCACCTCCTACCATTCACGGAAGACGATCTTGTTGGTACAGACTACGAATGTATCCCCACGACAGATGTTTATCTTCCCACCTTGGTTCCCCATAGAACCCTGTGAACCTCCAAGGTTCGTCACCCGGTGCTCCTACCACAACATCAATAAAATTCTTTGATTTATCTTTCACTTGGATATGAACCGGATTTCGTCACAAAAGAATTAATCCTCCACTCGCTCCCACACTGTCAACTACCTCCATATGCTCCATGTTTACTTTCCTTCTCACTTTTTCTGCCTTAACTGTGTTCAGATGTGTCTCAGACAGGAAAAACACATCCGGCCCCCACTGCTTCTGGACGTCCAGAAGTGATCTTACTGCCGCGTGCTGGCCAAACCACGACAGTTCCAACATAGTATTTTCATTGCGCCTAGCGGACACTCTCGAGAGGAGTGCACACGATCTGAATAGAGCTGCAAAAACCTCGCCGAGAAAACGGCCAGAATTGTAGTAAAGAGAACCGGTCGCTGTCAAACAACGCCGGGATAGAAAACCGATCGCTGCCAAACAACGCTGGGACAGAAAACCGATCGCTGCCAAACAACGCCGGGACAGAAAACCGATCACTGCACTAGGCAGCGGCGGGATAGAAAAGCTTGAACAAATCCAAATTTGTCTTCAGATCCGATCAACAGGCAAGTTCCCTAAGCACCATCAGGGAAGCTGTACGCTACGCAAACAAAGCATTGGATGAATTCCTCGACATGCAAGCAGCACACACATGAAGCCTGCACCGGCACCGGAGTTGTTGCTGCACCCTAGCAAGGCCGAAATACGAGAGACCAGCCACGGCACCTCGGCGCCGTCCTTGGAAAGAGATGCCGGCACACGCGCCGCCGCCAAGGAGGCGGCCGGCGGCGGGCCGGCGAAACCCTAGTCGCCCTTGATATGGCCTCTTACTTGAAACTCCTCTATTTTTCTAACAATGACTACCTAACTATTAGTACGGGCACTCAATTATCCTGCATTTTCATTTTTTAGAAAAACTTTGATCTATTCATTAACTGTCAATACAGTACAAAGAACATCATAGATAACAACAATTACATCTAGGTTCGTAGACCACCTAGTAACGACTACAAGCATTTGAGTGAGCCGATGTGCGCCTCCATCATCGCCCCTCCTTCACCGTAGTGGGACAAACCTTGTAGTAGATAGTCGAGCAGTCATCGTGCCAAAGTCCGACAAGACTAGCGCATCGGAACAGAAACCGCTGCCAATGAAGTGAGGCATAAATTGATTGAAAAGATCCAACATGCAGACAACACCAACGCAGGCAAACAAAGACCGAATTCAAGTGGATCTATCGAAGACAAACGCCGATCTAATCCCGCGAGATTCCCTAGAGACACATCTCACACACTAGAAACACGATCCGGATAGGGGCTAGGCAGGAAGAATCTTATTTCACTTCAGGGAGCCTCCACCGTCTTGCCTTTTTGAGCAAGACATAAATCCTAACAAAACTAAAAACACATAAAAATGAAGTCCTTCCATAGGGACAGGCCTGAATCCACCGCCCCTCCATAGCCTTAAGGCCACAGAAGATGAGACATACCAACGATAACACCGACCGACGCGAGGCAAGGAAACGGGCGCTCTTGTCACGAGCCAAGGCGTATGGGAGGACGTATTGAGTAGTAGTATTACCTAGTTCGGCCTAGCTTAATTTTCAGTATGGGCAACAAATAAGAGAAAATTACGAAGAGAAAAGCAAAAGAAAACATAAAACGTCAAGAAGAAATAAACAGAAATGTCGAATATTTTTTTGATCATTTTCGTGCTGAAATTATTTATTTTATCTTTTTTGAAAGAATTATTTATTTTATCTTAGAGAATTCAACTTTTTTCTCTTTCAAATTTGAGAATGAAGCCGGGAGGGCGGCTGACAGATTGGCAAAGAGAGGATGGGAAAATTGCGGCCTATGCACCCTTTGCAGGCGGGAAAACGAAACATCCGCCCACCTGTTCTACAAATGTCGGTACATGATGCGGGTAGCGAATGGTGAAGGCATGGCTGGGGCTAGGTGCACTCGAGACAAATAGGTGGGCAACAAAGCGAAGTATGAAGAGTTGGTGGTCTAGTATGTCAGAAGCCAAATACCACACACCGGAAGGCTTTTGCTTCCCTCACCATACTTGTTTGTTGGGTTCTTTGGAACGAGATCTGCCCGCCACGTGTTGTGATCTGGACGCTTCCTTCGGATTTTGTTTTTTTATTTTTCCTCGCGCGTTTTTTGCTTTTTAACAGATTTTCCGGGTTTTTCTATGTTTCGGTTTTTCACCGGTCTTCCTTACCTTTTGGATAAAAATATTCACGAAAAAACGCTCTTTTTATTTTGCGAGAGTCACGGTTTTGCTTTCGCGAAAGTCATGGTCGTGCCTCTCGGAAACGAAAAGAAAACATGTTTTCTGATTTTTTTTCCCCTTCCGAGAGAGGCACGGTTTTGCTTGCGTGTGCCTCTCGAAAACGAAAAAAAACGCGTTTTTTTCTTTCACGAGAGGCATGGTTTTGCTTCCGCGAGAGGCATGGTTGTGTTTTCGCGAGAGGCACGGACGTGCCTCCTCGAAAACGGAAAAAACATGTTTTCTTTTTTTTTTTCTTGCACGATTTTGCTTCCGTGAGAGGCACGGTTGTGATTTCGCGAGAGGCACGAGGCGTGCCTCTTCCGGAAAGGGAAGAAACTCGTGCTCCCGGTTTGATTTTTTCGTCCGATTTTTTTCGTGAAAAAAAGATTCATCAAAACATATCAACATTGAATCTAGTTTTGAAGAACGCGAGGAATCAAACGGTGAGAACGGTTCGAGATTTGGACGCACGGTTTAAGAGATAAAACGTTTTGAATAAACGGATTTACGAAAAGAAAAAAAAACTCCCAGGTTGCGACAACTTGCAACCTGGAAAAATGAGAGTGATCTTTGCAACGAATACTCCTCAATTATTGATTTCGCTCTTCTCCCGTCAAGACGAGTGCAGATTGTTTTTTTAGAGAGGGGTCCTTTTTTTAAGAGGGAGAGGTCGGGTTTTTTTTAATTATTATTCTCAAAAAAGAGAGAGGTCGGGTGAGAGCCCATGCGTTGTTATCGGGCCAGGGGGCTATCACACATTCTGCCGTGAGCGCGGTGAGCCCATGTCCGACTCACTCTCTCTCTCTCTCGTCCTCCAACGCGTCAGTAGAGCAGAGCAGTCTTTGCCTCCCTCAAAAACAAAAACAAAAAAGCAGAGCAGTCTTGCAGATAAGGAAGGAAAGCTCTGGTTCTGCGTACAGCTCCAACCAAATTCCGACCCCTCTGCGCAGACCAATCACCAATGCCTGGGCCTCCTTCCACCACGTCGCTGCCGAGGCCGAGCAGGTGCTACCGCTGCCGCTCGTCGTCATCGCCGCCACCGCCGCCGCCGCCGCCGCAGAAGCAGCGAGGCGCGGAGAGCAAGCGGCGGCCTATCCGTAACCCATCGTCGCCACCTCTACTCATCCGCTCGTTCTTGCCGCGCCGACTAACTCCTCGCGTGCCGCGCGCAACAGTGCAGGCGGAGCGCGGCTGCTGCTGACCCGGAGGGCGCTGGCGACGGTCGCGGTGGCGGTGGCGGGCCGCGCTAGAGCGGCGGAGAAGGACGGCGACGGCGGGGATGGTGGCGAGGGGGTGGTGGGCGCGTTCAAGTCGCTGTTCGACCCGAACGAGGAGACCAAGGCCGGGAAGGTGCTGCCCAAGGCGTACCTGAAGGCGGCGCGGGAGGTGGTGCGGACGCTCCGGGAGTCGCTGGGGGAGGGGGACGCCGCCGGCGACTCGGCCAGCTTCCGCAGGGGCGCCGACTCCGCCAAGACGTCCATCCGGGAGTTCATCGGCGGCTGGAGAGGCCAGCCCGCCGTCGCCAAAGAGGTACAGCTAGCTACCCAGCAGCAGCTCCATTCCCTTTCTGTCAAGCCAATGCTCTGAATGCTGTTGCTCAACTAGTACCAAAGTTTGTCAGGAAATTCAGTTTTACATGAATGAACTGCATGCTCTTAATAATCTTCCAAACTAGCCAGACGTTTGAAGAAAAAGATTTATTTGGGGTGATTAAACCATCTATGACTTCACTCACCTGCGGCCCTAATATTGGATTGGATGCAATGCAGGAGTCGTATGTGGCGCTGGAGAAGGCCATCAAATCGCTGGCGGAGTTCTACTCCAAGGCAGGGCCCTTCGCCTCGCTACCGGGAGATGTCAAGAACAAGATCCTGGACGACCTTAACGCCGCAGAAGCTTACCTCTAGATCTCCTTGCCTAGCGGCATTGTATTTCGGGCGTAAATTTCGTTATACTTGTGGACGTGTCCTTTTGATGCGACGTCATGAGTAAATAAATATTTGCATTTTATTCAGTTTTGCCAATGCAGAAGCACAGATGTAACCCTGATTGATGCTCGCCAGCAGGCCCCATCCCCTATGAGTTCCTCCACAGTTAAAACATCCTAAAATTTCAGGTTTGAAATTACTCGCAGCAGCATGCATGGCAAAGCTTTTTCGCCCATACAACGAGCATCTTACAGGCAATGAGGTTCAAAGGTGCAAAGCTATTGACAGAAACAACAACTAACATCCACTATGATATGATTGGCGGCGCCATTGGCC